AAAAACATGAGGCAAGCTTAAAACAATACAAAAAGAAGCATCAACTTAAAACTATAAAGCTCCTAGAAGAAAATACAAGGAAGAAACTTCTTGACATTGATCTTGGTAATGTTCCCTTGGATATGACTCTAAAGGGAGAGGCAAGATAAAAGCAAGATAGACAACAAGAATATAGTCAACTTTAAAACTTTGGCACATCCCAGGACACAACCAACAGAATGAAGAGAATGGGAGAAAATTGCAAATCCTGATAAGGGATTAATAGTCAGAATATATAAAGAATTTCTACAACTCAAAAAAAAAGTAAGAAAAAAATGATTTAAAAATGAGCAAAGGATTTGAACAGACATATCTCCAGATGATACGCAAATGGCTAAGAAAGTGAAACAATGTTCAAGATCACAAATTGTCAGAAAAATGCAAATCTGAATCATAAAATGGTACATTGTGCCCATTGTGATGGCCACTACTAGAATAAAATAGCAAATGTTGATAAGGGCTTGAAGATATTGGAACCCTTGTGCCTTCTTGGTAGAACCGTAAAATGGAACCACTGCTATGGAAAACAATATAGGGGGTGTCCTAAAAAAAAATGAATAAGTGCCATATTTGGGTGTGGCTTGTTTCCCAAGGATTCATGCATTAGAAGCCTGGTCTCCAGGGTGGCCATGTCTGGAGATGGTGTGAAACCCTTAAAACGCAGGGCCAGAAGTCCTTAGGTCACAGGAGCTGCCCTCAGAAAGGATTAAGGTAGCTCTTGAGGAACCCCTGGGGTCCCCTGAGAGTAAATCTGTCATAAGAGCAAGCCCAACCCCTGCATCACTCTCTGGTTTCCTGTTTGACAATGTGATTGCTTCCTTCCACACATACTACTGCCATCGTGATGCCATCTGCATTTGACTCTCACCAGAGGCTGAACCAAGGGGGCCTGCCCAGTCTTGGACCCTGACCCTCCATATCCATGGCCTAAAAACACCCATTTTCTTTATAAGGTTAGCTTGCCTCAGAGATTTTATTATAATAACACAAATTGATTAATACATAGGCAATTCTACCTATGTCTAAAAAGGCTGAAATCAGGATCTCAAAGATATTTGTACACTAGTTCACAGCAGCACTATTCGTAAAAACCAAGAGGCAAAGGCAACCCGGATGCCCATTGATGAATGAATAGATAAACAAAATGTGCTCTGTATACAATGAAATATTATCCAACCTCTAAAAATAAAGGAAATCCTGTCACATACTATAACATTGGTGAATACTGAGGACATTATGCTCAAAAAAGACAGCTACACGTAGGCAAATGCTATATGAGTCCACTTACATGAGAGATCTTAAATAGTCAAATTAATAGAAACATCAAATTGAACAGTAGTCACCAGGGCCAGGGAGTGGAAGAAAAGTGGGAACTGTTTAATGGGTACAGAATTTTAGGTTTGCAAGATGAAAATGTCTGGAGATTTGGTTCACAACAATATGAATATACCCAGCACTGCTGAACCGTACACTTAAGAACGGTTAAGATAGTAAACTTTAGGGGGCGGGGATTTAGCTCAGTGGTTTCACTGCCTGCTGCGCAAGCGCAAGGACCCGAACTCGATCCCCGGTACAAAAAAAAAAATAGTAAACTTTATATTGTGTTTTCACCACAATAAAAAGAGAAAGAAAAAGCACTGTCATAATATGAATGTTAAGACTGTGTTCTGAAATTTTAAAAAGTTTGAAACAAACAGGTAGCCATTCAGATTTGGCCCTCCTAATTTGCTGACCCATGGTTAACACAATCCTATGCCCTTGTAATCAGCACCCTGGCATCTTACATTTTCCCCTAAAATCCTATAGAGTATCAGAAAGTTACAACTGCAAGTGGGCTTAGAGACTTAGAGTCACTTTGAGGGGTAGGAGGTAGGGACTGGGGATGTGAGAGAGGAGTTTTCCAAGTCAAAGAAGTAGTTAATGGTGGAGCAGTAATTAGACTTTAGCTGTCCTAGAGCCTTCCTATTGCTATTTGGAGTTTCTACATCTATCTATCTGTTTATTTTTGAACCAAGGCCTTTGCATTCAGGAGCATTGAGTGATATCCCCAGCTCTTTTCATTTTTTGTTTTGCAATAGTATCTTGCTAAGTGGTTTAGGCTAGTCTCAAACTTGTGATCCTCTTGCTTCATCCTCCTGAATAGCTGGGAGTATAGTCATGTGCCACCACTCCTAGCTTCTACAGATTCTTTTAGTTGTTATTGCTGTTGTTGGTTTTTTTTTTTAACTTTTTAAAAAATGTTGTTGTTGTTTTTGTTTGAGGCAGGGTCTCATTATGTAGTTCAGGCTGGCCTTGAACTCACGGTGATCCTCCTGCCTTAGCCTCCCAAGTGCTGGGATTACAGGTGTGTGCCAACATGCCCAGCTACTTCTATAGATGATCCCCCCCCCCCCCCCCGTACTGGTGATTGAACTCAGGACCTTGCACTTGCAAGGCAGGCATGGTACCATTGAGCTAAATCCCCAGCCCAGCTTCTATAGGTTCTTAATGATCAAGAAAACAATCTTTGATTTGACTGGGTTGGGGCACAACTAAATTGCACTGAATTTAACTAAATTCCACTGGTGCTGCTATAAATATGGGTTGAATTAAAATCCCCTGGTAAGGAGTTCTCTAGGAAAAAAGTTACATTAACCACTTTTAGAGAATTGTGTAAAATTTCCTCATTTCATAACAGCATTAATTAACATTTAAAAAGGAGTGGCAACTTAGAAGACAAACAGTTATCACTATGTGCTCAGTGCTTGACTTCCTAGGAGTGGGATAGACTAAAAAGATAAAGCCCTCTTCAGCAGGTCAGAATCTAAAATCAAACCATGAACAAAATGCTTAGGGTGCAATGTTCATTTTGTACTGTGAAGCACTGCAAGCTAGAAGTTTTGCCTGGTATGATATATCTTATTATACTAACAGCTTCTTTTCACTATCTAGGAAAAACAAACAATTCCAACATAATTGACAAAATTTACGTTACATTCTATGAGTTAAGAAAGCATAAACAGTACTTAACACAGCTTCAGTTCTGATGTCAGTGTTGCATTAGAACATTATTCATTCCTCCCAGGCTTTCCTGGTGTATGCAAAGATGTGCAGAACACAACACCCTCTGGATAGCTGCAAGATACTGCGAAAGGAAGCGACTCCATTTGTAACCCTTACCATCTTGTGCTGAGGTGGCCTCCTGAGCTTGCCGAGAGGCTCAAAGAAAGGTTTTGTTTGTGTCTTTTGCTGAGAAGGAACAGCTTAAGGATCCTAAAATAGATTGTTTCCTAGAACAATGGTATGGTCTAAGCTGGTTTGTGTGGGACTGATGAGCGAGCTACAGAAATACATTTTTCTGTCAATCATTATTTTGGTGCCTGCAACTTATTCAAATGGTATTACTTTTTTTTGTATAGTTGTAATTTTTTTCATAATAAAGAATGGGAGAGAGGGAAAGAAATGGCATCTTTTAAGAGTTCCTTAGCCAAGAGCTCTATGAAGAATTGAGTAGTAACTTAATCTTCCCTTTGGATTTGCAGTGCTGTTATGTTTAAACAATTTTTTGCTGTCGTACTCCAGGTATATTCAGCTTGTGCAGTCTCAGCCCCACCCAGGGCAGCTTTTAATTACTTAAATCAATAAAATTCACCAACAACTACAAGCTAGGCTGAGGAGATAAAGTCCAGTCACCTAAAGTTCTTTACATTCCTGCAGTATTATGCAGGCACAGTCACTTTCAAAATGAAGGATAGCTGAGTTTTCGTCTTCCCCAGTCATAGCTGAATTAGGGTCTGTGTTTCTTTTTGCCAAGATAACCTCAGATGGCATATTTCTTTCTGATCCATGGACACATACCCCAGGAGGACTTCCATAGAAAATTCTTTTTGCCTAACTACCCATCATTGAATTCCATTGTGATCTGCCTATATGTAAGTTATTTCTTGAAAAAACTAATTTCAACCTGCAGGCTTAAAAATACATTTTTATTAGTGTATTGATTTTACAAAATACTGGGTTTCAGTGTAGTTTTATACATGCATACAACATATTTTGATCATATCCACCCCGTTACCCTCCCTCACACCTTTCTCTTTATTCCTTTCTTCTTGTCTAATCCATCTCCTTTTTTGTTTTAGAGATTCCACATATTAGGAAAACACACAGTACTTGGTTTTCTGAGTCTGGTCTATTTTGCTTAACATGATGATCTTCAGTTCTAACCATTTTTCCTGCAAATGACATAACTGCATTCTTCTTTACAGCTGAATAGTACTTTGTTATTATATCCAGTTTCTTTATCCACTCATCTGTTGATGGGCACCTAGGCTGGTTTCACAGCTTGGCTGTTGTGAATTGTGCTGCAATAAATTTGGGTACACAGGTAACCCTATAGTATGCTGACAGACCAAGGAATGGTATAGCTGGGTCGCATGCTAGTTCTACTTTAGTTTTTTGAGGAACTCCCATACCGATTTCCATAGTAGCTGTACTAATCTACATTCCCACCAGCAGTGTAGAAGCCCCTACCTCAACTTTCTTTTCTTTCCCTCCTTTCTCTTTCTTCTTTCCTGTCTCTGTCTCTTTTTTTCAAATCAGCCATACTGATTTGAGTGAGATGGAATCTCAATGTCAACTTGCAATTTAAAAAGCATCACAACTTTATGCTTTCTAGCCATTATCCTGGGATTTAAAAAGTCTGTAGGCTTAGACCTGTGTGAACCAGGAGGCTCTAACAAACAGATGGAGCGGGGGAGCGAGGCTAAGGGAATGAAAAAAGAATGAAGATGTGTTATGTCAATCTACCAACTCTCCAAGACGAATGTGATCTTTATGTACTGCAAACATATACCAATAACTATTTTAAAACATTTAAAAAATGGGCTGGGGTTGCAGCTCAGCGGGAAGGCCCTGGATTCAATCCTTAGCATCATTAAAAAAAAAAAAAAGCGAACACAGCGACAAGGGAGTGTTGCCATTAATATTCAATTTCTACTGTTCAGTTTCTTTTGTCCTTAGAAGCTGTACGTTTGTCAATGATTCTCTGCCTTGGAGACCCACGAGGGGAACAGGACTCCATTTAGTTCAGGCGACGTGAGCGTAAATCCGACAGTCCCCCGGGGAGTCCCAGGGGGTACGTCCCCAACGCTGCCCTCACCAAGATGGCCCCAGGCCGGCCGGAGGGGGCAGCCATCTTGGTAGCGGCGGGCCGGCGGCCAGGGTGGGACTAACGCCGGCCGGCCCGCCAAATGCCAAGGTCACAGTGAGTGTGCGACCCGGGAAAAGGGTAGGCGCACCTAACTGCCGCCTGGGCTCCCGCGGTGCAGGGGCGCCCCAGCGACGGCTCCCTTAAAGGATGGCGAGGTGGCGGGCGATAAGGCCCTGCCTCCATCTGCTGGCGCTCTCTGCGGAGCCGGAGCGGCAGCGCCGGAGGCAGAGGAACGGCGGCTCCGCCCGCTGCGCCGGGTTGGCGTGGCCCGCAGCGCTGTGGGTTGCGGCGGAAGAGCAGCAGCAGCAGCCGCAGCAGCAGCGCCCTCGCGCGCACCCGGCCGCCCCCCCCGCCAGGTGAGCGAGCGCGCCCCCCCACCCCCGCCCCCTCCCGGCCGGCGCCCCGCGCCCAGGGCCCACCGCGCTCCGGGTCTCGTGGGCGGTGGCGTCGTGCCGCCGGCCCGGGCTGCTGGGGCTCCGCGAGAGGTCGCGCCGCCTGCCGGTGGGTGTCGCGGTCCCCAAGCCTGGCCCCCTGTGGGAGATACTACGCTCCTGAGCTGCAGCGCTTCAGTTGTGTTTCCGCACCTCGTGAGCGGCGGAGCCCGCGTTTCAGCAGCCCGGAGTTTTATTCCTCTCCCTCCGGCAGAGTAGCTGTCTCTGGGAATTAAGATCCCATCTTTGCTGCGATCACCAGGTGCGTCTTCCCTGCCCGGAACCCAAGTGGGTGTATCTTCCCTTGGTCCTGTGTAAATGAATGGGCCCACAACTTCTTTTGGGCCACTTATGACTGTTTCATTGTAGTGCTTATCCCCTGGAAAATCCATCCCAACAGGTTTCTCCCCTTGTATCTTGAAATAAGTGTACTTACTGAGCTACAGAATGGAAATGAGCAAAAAAAGTGGGGCAGGTGGGGAGCGGTGGTGGGAGGTGATGTGATCTTGAGTTTCTTAAGTCAGGAATTACTGAAGCCTTTTCAGAACAGGAATTCAGATAAAGGTATATAGTTTTTCTTTCTCGATAGAACTCTATTTTTTTCTGGATAGAACTTGATCGTTATAAATACCCATTAACGGGCTCCAGAATCAGGAAAATCACACTTCACTACAATCTGGAAGCTATTCAGGGAGTGAGAAAGGTGTTAAAAAACACCTTTAAAAAATTATTTAGTCCCTGTTTTGCTTTTACTGTAGATAGTTTTGTTCTGTGTGTATTATGACTTGCCGGTTCACTTTGGTTTAGCATGAAATGTTTACTATTTGATAATAGTGCTTAATTTAGTCAGAAAATAACTCCTTGAGATACAGTTTTAGGCAACCTGAGAAATAATTTCCATCTTTGCTAATAGATGAAAGCTGATAGTTCCATTTCTGAAGTTTAGTGACACTGAGATTTTTTTAGAAAGAAGTTACATAATCTTTAAAAAGAAAGACTATCCTATATCCTAGTGTGGTTTTCCTGCAGGAAAATATTAGGTTTGTTAAAGAAGGAATTTAGGGCAGATGTACCTATTTAAAATAAAATTTTAAGGGCGAGAATGAGAGGTAAAAACGTGTCTCAGTCAACTGAAAATATAGCTTTGATTTCCAAAGATTTTATTTTGTCAACATCGCCCAGGATTTCTTGCTACAAGAATTACGATAAATCACCAAGAGACAAAAAACTTCGTATAGCTCTCGTATCAGTATTTTCACTCACAACTACAAATTATATTGCATAAATTCTGTGTTGCAAAATTGAACTTTCAAAGTTAGTCCACTTCCACGTATACGAAGTGTGTTTTAACATAAGCAGTCCATACCAGGGTAGATGTAATTTGATATAGTCCTACTCCTGTGTTTGTTTGAAAGGGATATTACATTGGCTATTTGTGAGCTTGGAAAACTGAACTGCAAATTCTTATGAACTAGTTTGTATTTGGAAAAGTAGTATTTGGTTTTTATTTTGTTTCATTTTGCTTTGTCTTTGTAGTGGTGGACAGCTGTGGATGTAGTGGGTTTTTCCATTCCTTTCTACTCTATTTGAATAAGAATATGGGTATATGGAGGGCTATGTGGAGTTGGGTATTTTGGATTGAAGTACATACAAGTAAAAGTGTTTCATTGAAGTATTAGTAAAGTGAACTGTGCACGTAATTAATCATTGAAGAACACCTTTATCTTGAAGGCCTGTGAAGGCATGCATAAAACTGGCATTTTAAACAAATCACTCATGATTTTACTTAAGCTTCAAGTAATATTTTATTCTAACTCCTATAATACTGAAGAATTCTACCTGTCTACAATTTGTAATGTTTTGGTTTGTCTTTTGAATTTAATAATCATTTCTTATGTATTTATTAACAGATTTTCATACCACATTATATATGTCCTTTGATATCGGTTTTATGTCATAGGGGCAGTCTTCTATCAACCCAACTGGTTGAATCATGTACTATAACTTTGTCATTTACAAAGCAGTTTCAGTTTTTTTGGTACCGGGGATTGAACTTGGGACCTTGTGCTTGCAAGGCAGGCACCAGAGCCACTGAGCTAAATCCCTGGCATCAGTTCCGGTTTTTAAAAATATATTTTTATTTGAACTTGTAGATGTAATATGTGTGAGATTATTAACTCCATCATAGAGATGAGAAATATAGGAGTCTGAAAGCCCAGGAGATTTTAGTGATTTGGGCAAAGTCCCAGCAGCCTCAGCTCTTGTTAGACAAGGGTACCCAGGAGGCCAGGGTGGAGGATGTGGGTCACTGACAAAACTGAATGACATCCCTAAAGTGTGGCACAGCTTGTGAACTGTCACTAAGCATTACTGTTGGAGGCACAGGGCCAGCATAGAGACGGATCAGGGTAATTCAAAACCTCTATTGAAAACTTAACTCAGCCTGCTACCTAGAGCAATCTGTCTTTCCCCTGGCGGGCAGCAGATTTTTGTGTTTATCTAATTTGGGCACCTTCCTAGATTAAGAGACAATAACATATTGGTTGAACAATGAATGTGTTTATTATTCTATGTGGCTTTGTCATCTCTGTTACAAGCATGAAGTTCTGGGGGTAGAAAGACACCAACCTTTCTCACTGTTAATAGCACTCCTTAAACTGGTCACATTCTTGCATGTTTTGGGTGTAGGACCCTTAAGCTAGGATAGTTGAAGGACAGCAATAATTTGTCTTGTAAGTTTTTTCTGTGTTTTGACACTTCTTCCATAGGAACACTGGAAACTGCCTAGGAACCAGATGCATTGGTCCCCTACCCAAAGGTCGACATCTCTTTGTGGACCTGACGATCCTTGCGTGTATATTCCCTAAGTAGACCAGGGGTTCTGCTTTTGAGGAGAAAAGAGAGTCAATTTTCCAGCAGGCACTTTCTAGTCTTTATCTCTATACTACCACTTTACTACCTGTAGAGTTCAGCTACTGAGCTATTCCTCACGACTTTTCAGTGTTTATTTTTGCTGTTTAATAGAGTTAGTGGGGATGCTTTTTGTTGACTTTTCTCTCTGTGGCCTTAAGTTGCTTTTGCTTCTCCTATTATTTGATTCCCAGCAAGTAACTAAAAAAAGAATGAATTATACCTCCATGAAGAGCAGTTAGGAGTTTAAACTCCTGTTCTTCATTTGTTCATTCCACAAATACTTGTTGAGCACTTATGTACAAGACAATGTGATATATACTGATTGTGTGTATATTGTGTTCTGATTGTAGTCCCTTTAAAAATTGTTTTTGCTTGGGAGCACATAGTTGAATTTTAACTCAGGCGGAACAAGTCTGTGACCCATCAAACGTTATGCCCAGCAAGGTAACCTTCTCAGTCTTGGTACTGTGTGGCAGTCTTCGGAAATACCATCACTTCTCTGGTGTGCACGGGACAGGCAGGAAGCGTAGCTTTATTGTAGGCAGCTGCCAGGCTAGGGATGCCAGAAAGTCCCTTTGACCCCTCCTAAGTGCCTCATCCACAGCTGTGCTAATGACTGAGTACAGCAGTCTGTCATTCCTGCCTGCGCATCAGATTCACCCTACAGAGTGTTTAAAACTAGTTGGGGAACTGCCCAACCCCCCCCTCAGGGTTTCATTCTGAACACTCAGGTATAGTTTAAGAAACTCCACAGGTAATTCTGATGCAGCCAGCCTCGAGAATCACAGGGTGAAGGCTCTGTACTCAGCTAGATAAGAAATATTCTAGGGAGGATTATCAGTGATTCACTGTAGGTTAGATCTTTTCCTGGCACCCTGCTTTGACTGCAGAGAGGAGGAGGAGGAACTCTGAGATTAGGAGAGTCGCTGGCTCGCTTGGATTGGAAACTGGGCAGGACACTGAAATGCCTCAGGGGCAATTGAGTGACTCCTAATTTATCTGGAACTGGCCTATTTTACCTTTTCCATCTGTTACTGTGGGAAAACTTTGCCTTTGAGCAAAAGAACCTCCTTCAGGGTTGGGGATGTAGCTCTGTGGTGCAGCGCCTGCCTGGGAAGCAGGAGGCCCTGAGTTCAATTCTTGGTACCAAAAAAGAAAAAAAAAAAAAGGAAAAGAAAAAACCTTCCTTCCCAGGGGCTGCAGGTCCTGGGGAAAGTGCTAGGAGCGAGCGAGTGGCCGGGTTAGTGTGGGGAGCCGGCAGTGTTTGGTCTTGGGGGCCCTGAGGGAGATGCAGGAATTGGGATAGAGAGGATTATTATTTTCAGAACCCAGAGACTGTCAAGGTTAGCGAGAGCCTCTGGTGAACTCAGCAGGGTGGTGAAGCCACAGGAGCCCTCTGGTGGGGCCCAGTAGAAATTCTGCACAAGGGTTGTCCTTTTGTATTTGTTTTAAGATTTGTGTGAATTCCAGCAAGACCAGGCTTTCTCTTATTCAAAGAGAAGAACAAAAACACATCCCACAGTTTATTCCATTTCAGTTTATTCGTGCCATTGCCTTTAGCCACATATCTCATTAGTGTAGAAATTTTAAAATAGTATACCTACTCCTCTAACCTTTATTAAGGTGTTTAGAGCATGATAAAACAGTGGTTTACATTTACTGAGGGTTTACTGTGCACCCAGCACTGGGCTAAAATTATGAAACCGAGGCTTAGGAAGACAGTGGGCCAAATTGGGAAATGTACGTTTAAAAATATATTTAATCCCTTATGCACTTTTCCTAGTAATGTGGTTTTCCTTGATAACCAAGTCAAGTATATTTTAATTATGTTCATTTTTTTACTACGCTTTTATAATTTACTGGGTATTTCCTGCTTAGCTTTCACAGAGTACTGAATTGAACCCTGGTCTCAGAGTCTCTTTGGACCTAAGGTTCTGTTGAGTTTTTGGGGTGGCCTCCAGGCGCTCCCACCCAACCTCGCACTGCCTGAAGGGGCAGGAGATGGCTGAGCA